TGAGCGTGGGGGAAAAGGCAAGAACAGGAAAGTATTGAAGATGAAGATATTGTTCTAAAAGGTGTGACAGCTTGGAGGGAAATGTGCGCCTTTCGTGGATAATCACTCCCTTTATTGATGATTAGGACCTCTGAAGATTCCGCGACTGATTCTATCTTTCTCTTTTGTCTTGCCTCTTGCTTAAAAGTAACTAATCTTTCGCAAGCATCATTGACAGTACCTCTAAGTAATTATGTGTATGATGGTGCCGATTTCTTTGAAGAGATCAATGAATAAATAAACTTCATCATGCAACGCACAAAAATCGTATAAAAGAGACACAAACAGGACCACAACTTGCACGTCTAGCACAAGAGTGTCAAAGTAAAATCTGGTTGGTAATGTTGAATGATAATTCTGAATCTCTGATAACTACAACTACTAAGTTAGACAAGAGAAATGCTAAATCTACCGTAAGTTTCTATTGCCTGTGTCTATAAATGAACCGGTATTAACGCTTTAACTTAAGAGGGAAGAGTTAAGGAATTTGAAAAAGGAAAAATCTTTCATTCACCGATCATGTACGCACTCATTCACAAGCGGGCGCACTTAACCACACTTTCTGGCATGTTTTTATTAATCATAGTTATTTTCAGCATAGTAAATTACAATTTTCCTTTAAAGCTAATTGTTTCTAACAAAAAAAGGCGGACCTTTGGTGATTGTTATAATTTCAGTGCCCAAAAATCATTCGGATATCGTCTTCTCGGTGACATGAATCAACTATTTAATCATAATTAACTAGATCTTTTTATGAACTTGAAAACATGTTATTTAAAAACAAATTCGCAAAATAGATAATTTATTTCTATTGCATTTTAATGTGTATCTCGTTAATCTTTGGTGCGTAAATGATCGGGATTTTATAAAATGAGCGTATGCAATGATTTCTCAAAAAGATGAATTGAATGGGAAATAAACGTGAATCGCAGGTATCGCGTGCAATAGCTCCAAGTTGGATACGAGATGATAAATCTTAATTGATCGGATGGTCATACGTGTCTTCGCTCGATTCTTTTAAGACATACATGGAAAACGCGATGACAAACGAAGCTTATGTTCAAAACACAAACATCAATGCCCCCCTTGATACGAGACTACGAGGTACGGCTCGAGGTTGCGTCGCATTCACATGCCCTCGTATCCATCTTCGTTTGCATGCATGCAAAGCAAAGCAAATTGATTGGCCATGTAAAGCCGTCCAAGTCCTTTGTGGTGAAGTCGAGCTCCCTCGAAACCAACAAAAGTAAAACACTAAACATCTTTAGAAGGATAAATTGAAACTATATATGTATACACTAAACATCTTTAGAAGGATAAATTGAAACTATATATGTATATATATACATATATTCTCGAGATAATTGGGTTATTTAAACATTAAATCCATGTTAAATTCGCTTAATATACAAAAGCTAGTAAAATATTTTAAAACATTTAGCATTTCTCTGATGATAATATGATGGCAGTTCTAATGACTCTCTTGCGGGACTACAAGGGCAAGCTGTGAAACCCTTTTTTTTTCTATTGATAAATTGGAAAAATTACCGAAAAAGTCTTAAATTTATTACACTTGTGTCAATTCAGTCCAAAACTTTTTGAATGTAGCTAATTTAGTCCTAAATCTTTTGACGATTTGCCAATTCATTCTCAAGCCTTTCAATTGTATTAATTTAGTTATAAACTTTTTGATAATTTGTCAATTTAGTCCTTCAGGATAAGTCGGAAATCACTGACATGGTGGTCTAGTCAGCGTCGGCCGTCTTACATGGCATGGCCGGAGCTGATGTGGACAGTTTTTTAAAATTTAAAATTTTTTGAATTTTTTGAATTCTTACTTTTCTTTTCTTTTCTTTTTTTCTCTTTTGTTCTTTTTTCTTTCCCTTTTCTTTTCTAACCCTCGCTAGGTCTAGGAGGTCAACGAGGATCGGACGACGACCTTACTAGCCTAGGGTTAGGAAAAAAAAGAAAAGAACAAGAGAAAAAATGATTAAAAAAATTTAAAAATTGTCCACGTTAGCGTCAGTCACGCCATGTAGGACGGCTGACGCTGACTAGAACACCACGTCAATCATTTTTGGCCAAAATTTGCAAATCGTCAAAATGTTTATAACTAAATTGGCCAAATTGAAATGTTTAAAATTGAATTGGCACAATAACAATAGGTTTTAGACTTATTTTGTAATTTTCCGATTTCTGTTGGTTGCAACCGATCCCCACCCTAAGTGAGGGAAAAAAAGAAAGTAGAAAAGGAAAAATTATAAGATGAAGAACATGTTCCTCAAAGATGTGACAGCTTAGAAGCAAATGCACGGTCTTTCGTGTATAATCAATCCCTTAATTGATGATTAGGGCCCAAAAATGATTCCGTGACTGATTCCATCTATCGCTTGTGTAGAAACTTCGCTTGAAAGCAATTGATTCTATCTTTCGAAAGCATCACTGACAGTTATATCCATGATGGTGCCGATTCCTTTGCAGGGATTAATGCATGGATAAAAGTAAATCATTCACTCCAATTATTAAAGCTTCGGGACTCCGAACGCTGAAAAAACCCCTTAAAAGAGACACGAAAGGTACCACAGCTTACACGTTTAGCACATCAGATGTCAAATTATATCTAGTTGATGATGTTGAATGATGATTCTGATAACTGCAACACACCAGTCCGACAAGAGAACTGCACAATGTGCAAAAGACAGAAATATTTGTGTTGGTATCATGGCAACCGATTAGGAGTTCTAAACAACGAGGAAATCAGCCTCCAAACACTGGACCAGATGATTGAGTGGTTGCCTTCTTCGCCGACACCACCCCGCGCAGGGCATCCAAGCTCGTCGACCTCCATTAATGGAGGCAATCGAGCGACCTCAGTGCAAGAGTTGGATTAGTACGTTCATTGGTATGGGATTATATACTACGATTGCCATGGAAAACTATCGGCTGTGGAAGCCCACGAGCTTTCGATGGTAAAAGAAATTATATCGCCAGACCTTTTTTTCAATTTGTAAATAATAAGTTAAAATTATCTTTAATCTCTATTACATTTAAACGTGTATCCCGTGTTTAAGTGATTCCGTTCTAAAAAATGAGTCTTAAGCAACGACCTCTCGAAAGTTGAGAGAATTGATGAAGCAAAAATTATGGGTCTGGCTAAGTTGAATGGGAGCGAGGGAATCGTGTGCACTAGCTCCCTGCCGGCGACGAGATGAAACCGTAATTGATTCGATAGTCATATGTGTCTTCGGTCGATCTTTTTATTGCGTACAAGCTCGTAATGAGAGACTTGTTACCGTGAGATATATTGGCAGCCGCGGATCGGGTAAGAAGGAGTAGAGAAAGTGCCCGAGCTAATATTTTGCACGGGTAATGAATGAGAAGATCGCAAAATTGGGATATAGATAAGAACGCGTGATGACAAACAAAGCTTACGTCCAATACACAAACATCAATGCCACTTGATCTGTGACTACGAGGCACTGCTCGAGGTTGCATCGCATTCACATTCCGTTGTAGCTTATCTTTGATAGGCCATGCAAGGCCGTCCAAGACGTTAACGTTAGGTTTGTCTTGGGGAGAGAAGGGGACTGTTAGGTTTGCTGTCAATGAGCTCAAAATGAAAGTTCTCACGTGTCATAATCTCGTGTTCGGAGACTAACAAGAGACGGCGGATTGGACTCTAACAAGAGACGGCGGATCCATGTCGTTTGCTCGAGCGAAGAGATTACTCGTCTTCAGGATTATATGTGGTGTCTTCCAGGCATGCTCGATAGATTTGTCAATCGGAAAAAACTCCACCCTAGGTGAGGGGGAACAAAGCAAGTAGAACAAGAAAACGTGGAAGACGAAGGATCACGGTTCTTAAAGATGTGACCGCTTAGAAGGAAATGGGCTTCTTTCTCGTGTATGATCAATCCCTCCTTAATTGATGCTTAGGGCCGAAAAACATTCAGTTGATTCTATCTTTCTCTTTCGTTTCTGTCTTTTGCATAAAGAAGTAATTGATTCTATCTTTTGAAAACATCATTGACGGTACCTCTGATTAATTATATCTATGATGGTACCAATTACTTTGAAGAGAATAAAAAATATAAAGAGAAATGCTTACGTGAGTGTCTTGAATTTACCGCGAGAATAACAACCTGTTTTGGATCATAAAAAAATAAATAATAAATAATTATAAATTATTGTGAGGTCCACTCCTTCAAGAATTTATGGCTTATAACATGCTGTTATTTTAATAATAACCCAAAAATCATTATACTAGCAAAGCCCAAAAATAGATAAACTTAATCATGTGTTTCATTAATAAAGCTTCGGGACCCCCAACGCACAAAAATCGCATAAAAGAGACAGGAACAGTATGACAACTTGCACCTTTAGCACATGAGTATCAAACTATACCCAAAAATAGATAAACTTAATCATGCGTTTCATTAATAAAGCTTTGGGACCCTCAACGCACAAAAATCGCATAAAAGAGACAAGAACAGTATGACAACTTGCACCTTTAGCAGATGAGTATCAAACTATACCTAGTTGAGGATGTTGAATGATAATTCTGAGAACTGCAACAAACCAATCAGACAAGAGAAATACTAAGGGCGCGTTTGTTTCGCAGAAAATAAACGGTCTGGAAAATATCTTCCTAAAAATGATCGTTCCTATCACTTATAAATGATCAAAAGGAAAACATTTACACCGTTCACAAAAGGGTTTGAGACACAAATTGTTGCTGATAATGAAAATAATTTTGGTTGACTAATTATTTCAAGCGATATAAGTAATCATTTTTAGGAAAATATTTTTCAACTCATGTATTTTTCGCTAAATAAACGGAGCCTAAACGTGCAAAAATCAGAGATATTTGTGTTGGCACCGTGTCAATGCTGGTTAGGCAACAGCCCCAAGATAGAGACATATTTGGGTGCGTGTGTATATATGGTATGCTTGGCCTTTGGAGCAAAACACAGGCAAACCACCCAAAAGCCACTCGAGTTTGTCATTCTTATCCTTTTTCTTCATCTTCTTCCGAAGCAAGAACAATGGTGGTGGAGTGCCATCCCCTGTTGAGAGGAGGAAGGAGGGAGAGGAGATACAGCCATGGATTCTCTGCAGCTCAGATTCAAGCTCTTGCCGCCATCTGCGAAACCCTAATCCCTTCCGTCCCGCTTGACTCCATCAACCCAAGAATCCCCCATGATGATCAGGCTCTGCATGGCTTCTACAGCGCTTCAGGGTCGCAGCATCATGTTCCCGACGAGGTGAAATTATTTTTCTCAGCTTTTCAATCTTTATTCAAAAAAGGAAATAAAGTAATTAGCCATATATATGTATACATATATTTCTTTTTAGATTTCATGCAGCATATAACCTTAATTTATAACATTTTTGGTGGCAAATTATAGCCGCCCCCAGCTTTTTAGTTTCGACAGGTATTATTTGTCTCTTTTTTTGCCCAAATTTTTGGGTTTCGTCTAAGCTGGGTCCGACATATTTGATCAAACAACGTTGGGGACAAAATGCATTAATTTCGCATATGGCAAAAAAAAAAGAAAAAACTTGAGATATCATTGGCTTTATCTCTAGAATCATGTCGCTTGAACCACATGCTGGCAGTCTACTTTGGTTACGTTCTTTATGTAGTTTGTCTAGGATTAGATATTTTGACATGATATTATTAAATTCAATCTCTTCATGCCCTCTCGTTATAGCATGTATTGCCGGTTTAGCGATGAATTTTCACAAGCGATTGTCTCCGCCGTTTGTTCAATGTTTAGTAAGAGCGTGAGCGGTTAAATTACTTACACCAAAGGTGGATGAAATCGCTTGTATAGAAAATTCTTTATACCAACGGAACATGTTCTCAACTTTTCATCTTATTATATCGGGGCACAAAGATTTGGTCACAAAACAAATACATAACAATCAAGAGGGAGCATCAAATGTTGCAAAAAAAAGAGAGGTAGGCATACAAGTTACAAAGTACACTTAATAACCGAGTAAAGCATTAAAATGGCGGGTAAGGCCTTTTCCTTCGTATCGGTTTTGTGTGTTCTTATTTTGAGTTAGAAGGAAATCTGTCGGACCTCGAGTGGCTAGTATTGAGGGCTTGCTCGCCCTTGCTCATATTTTGGTGAAGTGCGCGTGACGCCATCGTTCACAATTGCTAAGTGAAGGTCAACTGACCCTCGCGTGGCAAACATTACTAGAATGACGTTTGATTCTTTATTTTATTTTGTAAGTGAAAAAAGGCTTTTTATATGAATAAGTTATTTCAATATAAAAAAAATAGAATTTTTTTCTAATAAAATAGAAAAGTGATTTTGTCTATCTTTTTTAGATTAATGGAGGGAAATTTTGGCGTGGAAAGAGTGCAATTCTCTTCTATTTAAGAACGTATTTTGGCTTCTTCTTCACAAGAAAATTAATCGAGATTTCGTAAAGTTATCTTCAAGGTCACTCTTAAGAAAATGTTGTCTTGACATTGGTTTTTGTTTATCGATTGAAAGCTCGTTTTAGAAGAGATCTATCACAACCTATGGCATATGTTCGTTTCTGATTGCTTCCATGACCATGAAAATGGAGAGCAGGTTGCTGAGCTTTTGACGAAGAGGGCTCAACGCCAAGTTGTTGCGATGGTGAGCATAGTGCTGAAGATGCTGTCCTTCAGGCTGGGCACCCTCGTGCTGTGTTGGGGCTCCTGCTTGGCTTCGACATGGCCTTTCATCCTCAACTTCTCCGAAATGCCTGTGGAGAGCAGAGAGAGAGTTCTCATGAACTGGTCGAGACAGAAGTTCCTGGTTCCCTTGAGGGTTGTCTTCGTGATGATCAAACTCTACTGCCTTTTCATCTTCTACACTTGGGTCAGGTTACATTGTTGTCGTGTCCTTTACTTCTTTATTTTATTTTCTGAAGTCCGTACTAAATTATTTAAATGCTTAACAACATTCGCGTTGCATCATTTTGTGAATCGAAGTAATTGTAAGTGTAAAGAAAATCGATGATTCATTTCTTCATTCTTCTTCTTTAATCTTCCTCCTTGATTTCTAGTACAGACAGATGAAAACTCAAGCAACCCAGCATGGGAAGCAATAGGATACCAAGTGGACACCAGAGAGAAACCCAACGACTCCCATAACAAGCAAGAGAGGCCTCTTGAGAGAGGCCTCGTGGAAACCGTGCATGAAACCGACTCATCCCTCATTCAATCCCTCGCCCAGAAGGGACTCGAAGTCGCTCAAATTCCGCAGCACAACGCCTTCAGGGTTAAGTGCGATGTAGTCATCATAGGCTCTGGCTGCGGAGGAGGCGTCGCGGCCGCAGTCCTCGCACGCTCAGGCCAAAAAGTGGTGGTTCTCGAGAAGGGCAATTACTTTGTCCCGCAGGATTACTCGTCCCTAGAAGGGCCGTCACTGGATCAGATGTATGAATCTGGCGCACTGCTCTCCACTGTTGACGGGAAGATCGTGGTCCTTGCCGGCTCCACCGTGGGAGGTGGGTCCGCTGTAAACTGGTCGGCTTGCATCAGGACCCCAAGCCATGTCCTGAAGGAATGGTCGGCGGATCACAAGATAAGGCTTTTCGGAACACCTGACTATGTGTCTGCTATGGATGCTGTGTGCAAGAAGATTGGTGTCACTCAGAAATGTGAACAGGAAGGGTTTCAGAATAAAATTCTGAGGAAAGGTTGTGAGAGTCTGGGCTTGAAAGTCGAAGCTGTCGCTAGGAATTCATCAGAGAGTCATTTCTGTGGATCTTGCTGTTATGGGTGTAGGACAGGGGAGAAGAAGGGGACCGATTCAACATGGTTGGTCGACGCAGTCGAAAATGGAGCGGTCATCTTGACGGGTTGCAAGGCCAAGAAGCTCATTCTGGAAAATACCCAACATGGAGAAAAAACCAAAAAATGCTCAGGAGTGATTGCATCGTCTGTCCTCAACAAGGAGATTACAAAGTAGCTCCACATTGAGGCTAAAGTGACGATCGCTGCATGCGGTGCCGTCTCAACACCGCCGTTGCTGATTTCAAGCGGCCTGAAGAACCCGAACATCGGGAGGAACCTGCATTTGCACCCGTGCTTTTTCGCCTGGGGCTATTTCCCAGAGAATCTGACTGGGATCAAAGGCAAAGTGTACGAAGGAGGAATCATCACTTCGCTCAACAAGGTTGTCTCGGAAACCGGTGCCCCTGTCCCGGCGATTATAGAAACTCCTTCTCTCGGGCCCGGCCTATTTTCTGCCTTCTGTCCTTGGACTTCAGGCGCCGACATGAAGGAAAGGATGAGAAAATATTCGAGGACTGCCCATCTCTTCACACTGGTCCGAGACAAGGGCTCAGGGGAAATTAGAGAGGAGGGGAAAATCGTCTACAACCTAGGCGAATTCGACAAGGAGAACATGAAAATCGGGCTGAGGCAAGCTCTGAGGATACTGATTGCTTCAGGCGCCGAGGAAGTGGGTACACACAGGAGCGATGGGCAGAGGATGAAATGCAAAGGGACCAAGGAAGAAGACATCGAAGAGTTCTTGAACGGCATTGTGGTCAGTGGAGGGCCCACATCGAGGGAAGAACTGTGGAACTTGTACGGCTGTGCACATCCCATGGGAAGTTGCAGGATCGGGGCTAGTGAGAGAGATGGCGCTGTGGATGAGAGCGGTGAGAGCTGGGAAGCCAAGGGCTTGTTCGTCTGTGATGGGAGCTTGATGCCTACTGCAATTGGGGTTAACCCCATGATCACCATCGAGTCCACTGCATATTGCATTGCCATGAAGATTGCGGAGTCCTTGAGCAGAAAAGCATAAGACCTTGGAACTATGACTGAGCTAAATGATTCATATGCTGCATCTACTTCTTGCTTTTGAGTACTAGAATCTGTCGCTTCCTAGATCCAAATGAATCGTGATGTAAGATAATATAATGTCCGGTGAACGCTATGTCCACTTCATCTTTCTAGTTTCTGCATTATGCTTTTTAGCAGTACATGTATTCCTTCATGTGTCTGCCCAAGGCTTCACTGTCTTGGTCACTATATCCTGAAGCTTTCCTAAAGGCAATTGTGATTCAGTCGGTTTGATGTTTTGGCATCACAGCCAATTAGGTGGGAATCGGGTAGTAGTTTAGTTAACAGTCAAGTGCAAGATCGAGCGGCCTAGATAAAGTCCTCAGCTTGTGAAATGAGTCGGGATAAGAAGACTCAGCAAAACTAGGAAGACCAGAGAAAGAACTTCGCATTTTGAATCTTGAAAATAATTTCACTGTACAAGCTCGCCATCCTCGAATATCACAGGGGCTGGACTTGGGGGTGATCTAATTGGATTGACAACTGAACTAGCGAGAATCAAATGTCATCACTTGCCCATCTAGTTGACTGCCAAACCCGGTGCCAACTGTTGCGATCTCGAATTGGAAATTTTTGGGGCAAAAGGAATCGATTCAACGACCTCCTTCAAGATATGAATAAGAAAAAAAAGAGCCAAAGCGACTGAACGACGATAAATGAGGGAAGCGAATCAAGGGAGTGGGTGGCTGGAAAGTGCAGAGAACGCCATAAGAGAAGCGGACCGAGTTCTTTTAAGAGGTGATCAGGAAAATCAGTAATATATGTGTGGGGAGATGCTATCCTCGGGCAAACTAACCAAGCGGACCGAGCACTTTATCATGCTGCTTCCTTGTCTCGACTTTAACTGGTTGTGAAATTTAATGCACAAGTCCTTGGATGTTAAAGGCTTTAATATATTGGTCATCGTCTCCTGAAGAGATTTCCCAGGGCTATCTTGAGGTGATCGGATTGGCGACCGAGTCGTATAGCCTGCAAAAACAGAGTATAAAGTCTAGATAGCTGTTTTCAGGGTTTGCTAGGCTAGATGAAGATGTGATTCGAGAAGAAAAATCGGGGATTTATTAGGTCAATGATGGTAAGTTTACAAAAGGGATAATGGCATAAATAGTCTTTGAACTTTGGTCTAATGCACAATGTGTTCCTTAGATTTTTAATTTTTTCAATGTAGTCCATGAACTTTTAGCCTAATGTTTAATGTGGTCCATAAACCTTTAATTTGTTCAACGTCATCCTGGACTTTTGGTACATGTTCAATGTAGTCCCTGAATTATATGAAAATGTTCAATGTAATCCCTCAACTTGAATTAATGGAAGAATTATAATTAATGGGTTAAATTGAACATGTACCAAAAATTCATATACGACGTTAGCAAATTAAAAATTTATGGACCACACTGTACATTGGGTCAAAGTTTAGGGACTATATTAAACAAATTAAAAGTTCATGGACCATATTACACATTGAGTCAAAATTTAGAAACTGTTTGTGTCATTTTCCCTTTACAAAAACTGATGTACAGAGTGATATGATAACCTGCCATAATATGCTTTTTCTCAATTAGAACATCCACTTGCAGTTTTGCCACGACACTTTGTGAATCATTTTGCAAATCGGTCTCGAAAAATTGCAAGAGATTACTTCGTTTGAGCAAGGCTTTTTAATACCCAAGTGGCCTTATACGCCATTGCTTTGAGAGAGTGGATGGTTACAATCTTCACATCAAGGGCGATTGAGGCGCTTGTGTGAATTTTCTTCTACATTGGCGGTAATTTATATGCCCTGTTTTTTCGAATATAGATCATTCTACAACCATCCTCATTCCTAGGAATCCAAAGAAGTTATCAATGTCAAGAAATAATCTTTCATCGTTTCAGCAACATCCTCAACTTACAATCCGAAACTGGAAAGAACAAAATGCAGCAGCGATGCTTCATATAAATTCAAAGAAAGAGTCGTCTCAATATGCAGAAATAGCCACTTGCCACGAAGCATCAACAAATCGTCTCGGCCTGAAAATAGGTAATAAGGTCGAGTGTGGTTCGAAAAATGGTGGGATGTGGCCGTGGAAACCTTCTAGTAACAATCTGGAAACCAAGACAATGTTTGATGAAACACGACTACTGATTTCACGTCTCCGTCAATTGTCTAAGGCTCGTCGTGATGACCCGACTAAAGATGAAGAAAATCATTTACTTTTGAGCTTGCCATATGCTCTGGAAGTCTGACCTAATCAGTAATATCTAAACTGTGCTAAGAAAATGTGCAGTCGGAGGTGAAATGCGCCCGAGTCCTGGAAGAATGAGCTGAACAATTTTTGTAACACATGATGGTGGCGGAAAAACAGAGACGACGATATCACCTCTTCTAGCTGGTGGAAGTTCTTCAAAGAGTCACCGCAGGGAACTTGCAGGATCCGTAACCTATCAACAGCAAATTAAGACGACCGTCAAAATCCACCCGTCATGTAGCCTATATTCAATCATTGTTAGTATCAAGTTTTGTCGGCGCGGTTGATTTATCAGATGTAAGCATCGACATTCATTGACAGGAATTAAGACTGGTTGATTTGGGAACGTTGATCAGGGGAGAGGATAAAACACAACCACAGAAGGAGAAACAAAGATCATTGAGGAACATCAAAATTCGACGAAGAAAAGATAGCACACGATCTCGTGTCAATTGGGTGAATCGGGTATGACAAATTGTCTGATCATCCTATTACTTCCTGATATGATTTAAATAGCTGATTGTCATAACATAAGTTTAGCAAAACATGGTTAGATCTTCAAAACTTACATAAAACCAAATAAAAAAAAAAGAGAAAATATAAGTAAAATTACGAGTATGTATCCTTGTGCACCTCACAAAGAAGATAAAAATTATACAACGTTCATTTGAACTCTAAAGTATACTATTCTAATTGACACGCTACACCAACTCATTAAGCATCCAATGCATAACATCAAAAGCTTGTAAAGTTTGAGCAAGATTCTCCTTCTGAACTCTTTAATGGTCAATGACTATCAAACTGTAGGATTTCCGACAGAATTAACAAATAAAACTATTAAAAAGAATAAGAGAAATATCACAGAGCAATAACTAGACAATTAAGGGAATAATCAAAAGCCGGGTTTGCTGAATCTTACTTGGATCTTTGATGGTTTGAGTGGCCAGCCCATCGAAGTAACAAGACCCACCCGCCTTCCTGAACTGGGCCCAGTACGAGCTGAACGCGTAGCTCGCCCACCAGACCAGCGAACCCGGTCTATAACACGCCTTGCCCGGTTGGATCGGCCCGCATGTCCCGTTCCCCTGGGAGCACGCGTACGACAAGGCCGACCCCAATGCGCTCCGGTTCGCTCCCCTCGCCACCACACACCATATCTTCCCCTTGTACGGCTCGTTGTTCGTCGGCGCCGGCAAGGGCCCGTACTCCCTCTCCGGCCTCTCCCCGCTGAGATCGATCTCGTACACGAACGACCCGTTCGGGTACAACAGCCCGAAATGCCGCTCCGTGCCCGGACCCGTCTTCTGGTTCTCGTTGTAGAGCGCGAATACGAAGGAAGGCAGGACCCAACCGGGTCGAGCCGGTGTCCCGATGGCCGGTCGGGCCGAGAGCTTCTTGACCACGTTGCGGTTGTACGTGGCGGCGTTGTAGATGTTGGCGCCGATCTGATCGTAGTCGCCGGCGTTGGGCCAGCCCGTCTCGGCGATCCAGACCCGGATGTCCGGGTACCCGAGCTTCTTCATCGCGAAGATTGCCGCGTCCACCATCTGGTCGAACAGGTTCGTGTAGACCAGGCCCGTGACCGGGTCTGTGAAGGTCACGTTCTTGGACTCGAACAATGCGTAGTCGAGGTCGATGTTCTTCGGGTCGGAGGACCAGGGGAAATACGGGTACACGTCGAGGAAGAAGAACGATTTGGTCCGGTTCAAGAAATGCAGCATCGGCCTCATGACACGGTCCGACACGTCGGGCCTGAACGAGCCGCTCGACGGCGGGTACGACGACGCGAGGACGTCCATCGCGTGCGTGGTCCCCACCTTGACCTTGAGGACCCTGTGCCTCTTCAGGGCCTTCTTGACCTTTCGCATCGCCGGCACGAGGTTGAGCCGGGTCGTGTTGTCGGCGGCGCTGAGGATCTCGTTGCCCACGAGGAGGTACCGAATCTTGGTCGCCGGGTAGAAGGGCACCACGTTGGACACTACCCAAGAGTCGGCGAGCGTCTGGTTGACGGCGATGGCGTTGATGAGCTCGTTCGGGACCATGACCGAGACCCGAATGCCGGTGTGCCGCAGGGCTCGGAGAATCCTCGGGTTGGCATCGTAGATTTTGACCCGCTGGGCCTTGAGCCGGTGCTTGATGAGCCGGACGGACCGGGCCGGCGACGGGAGGTCGTTCCCCAGCTGGCCGTAGTTCACTCCGACCTTGCTCGAAATCTCCGCACCTGCGAAAACGGAACCCACAAGAGTGAGGCTCGAAATAGACCAAACCCATGTCAGCATTGTTGAGATTCCACAGGAAGAACAGAGGAGACTCACCGCACAGTGCAACGAGCACAGAAGAGAAGACGAGCAGATGCAAAAGACCCATTTGCATCGAAAACAACGACACGGGCTGTCACTAATCAAGAGCCCTCCCTGTTTTCTATCCACCCCCAAAGGCTGCAACTTTTTTTTTGGGGTGGGGGAGGGTCAATGATAGCTGAGACCGAGAAGCGAGAGAGAGAGAGAGAGAGAGAGAGAGAGAGGAGAAGGGGATTGAGAAACGCTAGAAAAAGGGTCAAGGAGGGTTGTTGGAGATTGGTGATTAGGGAGGTTCGTAATAGCTATCAATGCTCAGATGTTGTGTCAAAAGCTGCGAAGATTTATAGAGATCTATTTGCGGATATATAATAGGATTTCCAAGGTGATAAGAAGATCGGGGCTTCAATAGCTCTCTCTGTTGGGGGACTCGGGAGAGAGAGAGAGAGAGAAAGAGAGACTCGTGTAATCACATCATCTTTGATATATTCTGTCGCAGGAAAAATCTAGTGAGAAAAGAGAGAGAGAGAGAGAGGGAGGGTGAGGTCGGGGTTTGGAAGAAAGAAAAGTTCAAAGGTGTGAAAGAGGAAGGAGGAAAGAGAAACGAGTGGGGGCCATCGCATTTGGGGTCTCGCTTTTTGATATTGGTTCTGTGAGAAAGAAAGTGGGAAAGAACAGGGAGTGGTGACTCGGATCAAAAAGAGGTACGACTAGCCGTTTCAAGTGGGGACACTTCCGGCGTAAGGGCGATAAAGACGTGCCAAGGATTTGAGGACACTATTCTTCATTGGTTAGGGCTTCGGGTTAGGGTTAAAAGTAGTCTCCAGATTAGTTGTATGGTCTATGAAGCATGTCCAATCAATTTTCTGTTCCAATAGATGGATGTGAGCATCATTTAATTAGACCACCTTTATGGCGTGTTCCTTAGCCAGCTCGAACTATTGTAATGAACATGGATAATGTGTTTTTTTTTTCTATTTGGAATGTCGAAACTCGCTATGCTCCATAATTATAGAGCAATCATGAGATATTTGATAATCGGCACGCGGAAGCAAATGCAAAAAGATTTTGGAGTAGTCTCCTTTTTTCCAATTTAGAATCATTATCAAAGGGATATGGCCTAAGAATTATTATGGTGGTGTGATGATAGTGTGTTGAATGGGCGACCATCCACCAACTTGAGACGGCAAAATGAAGTTAATGATATTTCAATCTGACCAATGAGAATTTCTCACCTAGATCGAATCTTCATGTCAGATGCACCACAGCTTTTAATTATGCGGATTCTATGCGAGCCTCCTTGTAACCAACTATCGAGATAGACAATTAGATACGGTCTAGTGAATTCAAATCCACGCGAGTATTTCCCTAGCAGAGATGGTGGAATGTGATCGGTAACGATTGAGTCCATGTAATAACACTAATGAAGTTTTCTTCTTGAACGTGCTAAGCTGATTAACAGGGGTTGTTGGTCTAATGATGGATGAACGCTCCATAAAAAAAACAAAAGTTAAAGATTTGTTCCCTTTGTCGTCGGAGAGGATTTATTGGTGACATCGCTTAAGACACACAACGGCTCCTGATCATGTCATGGGCTAAAACAAAAAACCAGAGGGAGAAGAACAGAGAACCGGTCCGAAGTGGACCTTCCATCACCGAACATCATCGTAGAAAACGAATGAGACGAGCTCCCTTAGTGCTCTCCAATCGTCCATTGGCGTTGCATGTGGATTTGACAGAGAATGTCTAAAACCAAGGCTGCTTCCTTCACACACGACGTGGCAGCGTCTTCTTCCTTGGCACATCCACATCAATCCCTAATTTCGTATTACCGATCATCATTATCGTCGTTATTATATCGTGGAAAGTCCCAATCTCCGCAGTAGGGACGGACGATGTCACAGACTAGGATCTGCCCATGACTATTTGAAGAGACTTTATTATTTGTTTTTCCACTTCACATCAGTGACGAACTCCCACCCACGTTTCTATATTGTCATTTTTCCTTCCATGTTTAATTATTTCGTTCTTGTCTTTTAGGCCAATAATTTAATTCAACGGACCAATTCTGGGGTCAAAGCAACTGACATGTGTTGTACCGATCCATGTAATTATTGTATAATTCATGGACATCGGCAGTTTTCACCGGTTCTTCCTTAACTTCACTTGCTTAGAAAAAAAAAATATAAATATAAACATCGATTACAACATCAAAGGTCCTGGAAGGCACGTTCGATAAAAGATTAGAAAGTGCGGAAAAGAAGAAAGCGAGAAAGTAAAGAGAGATGCCCGAATGGCTTTGGAAGAAGAATCACAACCCACCAAGCCCTTTTACTTTCCTTTTTGGGTAAAAAAGAAGGAAGGAAGATGGACTAGAGTGAGAGAATCATAGTACGCTACAAAGCCTCCATGTTCGTCGTCCTTCAGAGAGTAACACTCGGAAACTTGCAAGATCCATGACCTGCAATCGAGAACGTAAACATCCAAAAATCTGTTATTGTCCTTTCGGCAAGTGTCCCTTGTATGCAAGATCGAATGGTAATATGTGTGCGAAGATTTTTTGAATTAAGGTCGCGTTTGTTCGACGGAAGATGATTTGCAAGAGAAACTATTTTCCTCTTTTTTTTCCTTTGTTTGTTTACAGACAATTGGTTAGGGAAAACGTTTTCTCTTTATTGAAAAACCCAAGTTAAAAGATCGGGAAAATGACTTCTGAGATTAAAAAATCGGAAATCGTTTTCCTATGCACGAATGCCTTTTGCATCCTCTTCCATGTGACTGCTGCTTCTCCTTTCTCATTGAATTCTCTCTCTCCGTGACTTTAGGTGCATCAAAGTGGCTAATCCTATGCTGGAAAGTGTCTTCCTTCTCTCTCTCTCTCTCTGCCTACAATCTCCCATCTGAGTGTTGTTCTTATGGGGAGTTTGTTCTGGGTTTGTTCTAGAGCGTTGGTCCTATGAAGATGGCTGAAAAGATATCTGTGATATTCTCAATATTTTGCTCACCAAATGTTTGTGTAAAGTACTCAAAGAAACTCGAATGCAAATCATTGTGATCTTGTTAAAGTAGTTACATCCCGTGAAAGAGAAAAGGCAGCAATAACAAGCAACAGATTAAAAAAGGATAGTATTGCTTTTGCTAGAAATAGAAGTGGATTTTCCATTCCAAACAACGAAACCGATTTTCAACTAGTTTTAGGAGTTTAACCAAACGTTGAAATATACTACCATTTTCCCTGAATATAATTTTCTAGAAAATATATTTCAAAAGTATCATATTTTTCGCGAAACAAACGAAAATATATGATAAAGCAAGAATAGAAACAGATTAGTGAGACTTACTTGGATCTTTGATGGTTTGAGCGGCAAGCCCATTGAAGAAACAGCTCACGCTAGACTTCCTAAATTGGGCCCAGTATGAACTGAACGCGTAACTCGCGTGCAATAGCAATGAATCCGGTTTATAACATGCCTTACCCGGTTGGATCGCCTCACAAATTTTGTTCCCCTGCAAGCATGGATGATTGAACATAGGTAAATTTGAATGTGACATGAACTCCAAAGAAATCATAAATAGCACATCCCATGTAAGTCATGATGTCTACATGATCCGAATTTCGCACACAATGTTCAATTGTTTGCGAGCTTACCTGCGAGCAACTGTAAGTTAAGGCCGCCTCAAGCGCCGTCTTATTGTTGGATCCTGGCGCCACCACACACCATATTCGTCCCTTGTACGGCTTATTGTTCGTTGGTACCGGCAATGGCTTGTAATTCGATGACGCCGTCTTCCCGCTCAGGTCGATCCCGTAGACTCTGGACCCATTCGGGTATAGCAACCCAAAATGCCGCTCCGTGGTAGGGCCTGGTTTTTGGTTCTCGTTGAAAAGAGCGAAGATGAATCCCTGCATGGCCCACCCTGGTCGGGCCGGAGTCCCCACGGGCGGTCTGGCTGTGAGCTTCTTGACTAAGTTGCGGTTGTAAGTGGCGGCGTTGTAGATATTCGGCCCGATCTGGTCGTAATCTCCAGCACTGGGCCAGCCTGACTCGGTTATCAGGATCGGAATGTTGGGGTACCCGAGTTTCTTCATAGCGAAGACCATTGAATCTACTGTTTGGTCAAAAAGATTCGTGTAAACCAAACCCGTACCCGGATCTGTGTACCTGATGCTCTTGGATTCAAACAATGCGTAATCAAGATTGATCTTTTCCGGGTCCTTGGCCCAATCGAAATATGGATACGCATCCAAATAGAGATAAGATTTGGTCTCGCTCAGGAACCGCAACATGGGCTTCATGACCGAACCCGAGATGTCAGGCCTAAACGACCCATTAGAAGGCGGGTACACCGAGGAACCCCCGAGCACGTCGGTGGCCATCGAGGTACCAACTTTCACGTTCTGAATTCGATGCTTTTTTAGTGCCTTTTGGATTCTTCTCATGGTGTGGACGAGCTTGAGCCAGAACCAGCTGTTGTTGGGGTCGCTGAGGATCTCATTGCCGACGAGGAGGTGTCGGATCTTGGTATCCGGGTAAAAGGGTACGATGTTGGACGCGACCCAATGGTCTGCTAGGGCTTGGTCGGCAGACATGTTGGCAATGAGTTGGTTGGGGACCATGGTGGAGACCTCAAGGCCTGTGTTCCTGAGGGCTTGGAGGATTTGGGGGTTGGCATCGTAGAGCTTGACACTCCCGGAGCTGAGTTGGTTCTTGATAAGTTGGACTGCATCGGGCGGCGATGGGAGGTTGTTGCCTAGTTGCCCGTAGTTCACCCCCACTGCACTTGTCGCCTCAGCCCCTACAAGTCACACCCAAAACCATTATCTCGCTCCATGAGAAGAGTGCTTCACCGTCGAAATATAGTAATGGCATTCGTTACAAACGTGAAAGATTGCAACCATGCATGTTTAAGCAACTCTATGACAACCAAGTGTCCCACCTGGTACAGCCTAGACTAGTCATGAGGCTTTAACTAACTTCAGAGCTTTCTCAAGAGAGGAAGAGGAACTTACTTGAAAAGTAGAGTACAAATGAGAGGACGAGCAAGTGAAGAAGACCACCCATTTGACGCTCGAAACCCCTTATCAGCTGGGGAAGTAGAAGGCGCAAAGAAGAGTTGAGAGCGCTGAGCACTCGATTGGTAATATGGAGAGATCACCAGTGTGGGGCGTGAACAGGGAAGTTTTGCTTCATATAGAACTCAGAATCCATCCTGAGTCCTTTTGATTGATTTGACTTAGCCCTAGATCGATCCAAGGATAAATCCTAGATTATATTCGAAAGTACTAGAGGGGTTGCGGATTAATTTAGCTTCAAGGACGGAAAATTTGCAGATCTCCATGAATTTGGTAGTGACACTTGCAAGAGGGGTTTACAAAAAGGACGATAATAGTTGTCGTTAGCGTTCAACTTGGTTAAATATGTCAGTTTTATTTGTCATCGAACTATGCAACATTGAAATTTAAAGAGAGTTGACAGCTTACTTTAAGTCTCGATGAGGGTTTAAGGTCTATTTTCTACGCCTGAATGCTTAAAGAAAGGCCAACTTCGTTTGGGAACCTCGGGACGTGAGATTTCGACGAGGAAAACTATTCATCACGAGATTATATAATAATTGCTAATCCTTCACGTGTGGACAAGACACTCTTAAATACACAACACTAGGTCTTTTTTTTGTCAAATACACATCTCTAGTTAGTTTTCTCGCAAGCAATAACATAGTATTTGCACAAAAAATTAACCAAGTCCTAAATATGAGTAAGCACGTGACTTAAGTATGACTTGTTATCATCACTCATGTGAACTATTGTCGATGACCATAAGAACGGTTATCGATATTGATGTACATCGATGACCATAAACCGGCTGTCAATGCGCGATAGCGTCTGGTGGCCTATTATCATGACAGAATTGATCGACAAAGATACCAATGAAAAGTGATCGATAGATTACCGATTGATAAACTGAATGAAGAATGAATGTATGAAAGACACTGATCTCAATTATGGTATTCAAATTTGAAGTCACTGACCGATAGGGCAATGAAGTCTAGCAAATCGTGGAAGAAGATTAAAGTTAATTCAAATGCAATTCAAAGTGGCAGCAAATAAGAGCGAGAGATCAAGGCGCGGTTCTAAGGGAACAACCACCTGTAGATAAGATCATGACGACTTGAGACCACGGAACCAAGATTCTCAGAGATGTGGAAGCATGGCTAAAATTGTGGAAGAAGTGCTCATAGGTAGCTATGTTGTGAAAGCTATAAATATTGGTGTTCGTCTACCGAAGACCCCTCTCCCCACGCACAACACACCAAACTTGTTATCTTTTGATTTCTGCGCTGTGGTTATGGTTGTAATTCCCAAATACTTGGTCGTCAATTAAATTCCGGCATTGCATCTATATATCCTCAAGCTTTATTGTTATTAAATTCCAGTAAAGTTTGTGTACTTTCAATTCCATTTGAGGTGAAATTATCAATTTCATTGTGTACATGTGATATTTTCTGTCCGAAATCTCCAGAGAAACTGTTTCCTTTAATAAAAACCAAAAAATGACTTTCGATGAAAGGAATTTCATCACGGAGCAAATTCCGGCGAAACACATAGTTACACTATTGGTTGGATTTCAGGTATTGATGATAGAGGAAGCAAAGTGGTTTTTTATGCGTCAATTGTACCGACATTTCTCTTGGAGAGTGGGTGCGGTTGGATTCCAAAATGGGCCACTAACTTAGATTCCATTTACTTTGTGAAAAATTTAACATTTATGAAAATATTTTTCAAAAGGTCAGTTTCCAGGAAAATGATAACATTTTTCAGTATTAACTGAAATATGAAAAAGCGCTAGAATTATTTTCCATTGTTTAGAAAAGAATAGTTTACTTTGTTTGCTCAAAGAGATGTGCATGATTCTAGTGCTAGTGAATTGGGCATGGGTAGTTGGGGAATCGAGTAAGGGCACCAAGGTCTAGGACCCGACCTCTGTGGACTAGGGCTCGACCTTAGTGGACCTTGGCTCTGATGCTAGGGAGCTAAGCATGCGCACCTAGGTCTCGAGCATAAACACGAGCACCAATTCAGATCCACATGGCTCCCTGATGCCTGGTGCTCGAGCCTAGTCTTAGGAACCCGATCTAGGTCTATCGGGGCTGAGGCCGGGCCTAGGTTCATCAAGGTTGGGCTCGATAGGGGTGAACAATTCTAAGGTCGGTCCAATTTCCTTTGAATAGGGGTGTGCAAAGGAATGGGGAATCGCCTGGACCGCCTAGAACTGGACTGAGCCGGTGGTTTCCATGGGAACCAGTTCGGTTCCAATGTACTAGAATCGGTGAGTATAGGTCTAGTTCCTAGTTCTAAGCGTGAAATCGCCCACCCGGACCGGTATATATAAATTAAAAAAAATTCCAGCTCATTCTTTGTTTCTTACCTTTTGTCATTTACCCTACTTTCCTACTCGGGTTTTGTAGTCCTCAAAATAGAACAAAAGGAAGAAACCCTAGCCTTATCTCACTCTCACGGTGAGGAGAAAAAATTTAGTGGTTACTAACCACCATGTCATCCACCTATGTGGCATGCGTGAGCTTAGTTGGCTCCACTCAATGGGAGACACACGTCGTCTGAGTTGGACTCGATGAAAAATGAAAAAAGTCTTTCTTTTCTCTTTTCCGGCAAAAAATGATTGAGCTAAAAATTAAAATCCCTCATAAAACACACACACACACACACACACTCTCTCTCTCTCTCTCTCTCTCCTCCTTTCAATTTTCAAGGCCTTCTTTACCTGCTCTCCTAGGAAAGAACAGCCAAGACACTCTCTCTCTCCACCGCCATCACCAAGAGCACCACCGGTCGCTCCAAGCTTAGATCTGCACCCAAGAGAGAGAGCCTCGCGTCGCTCCGAGCTCAAATCTGCGTCTGGCACATTGCCTCCCCCAAGAGCCCCTACGTCGCGCATGCTGGATCCCGAGCTCCTCTGTCACGCCCCGTACCCCACTGAAATGCAACATCCCGTCATGGTCGATTATGGTGCAACGTTCCCTGGAAACGTCGCCAACCCAACACCCAATCAGAGATCAATCGCATACGGAAGCACGTATATATATATACACCCGTACAAATAAACACATGAGACCAAGGTAGAACAACCAGCAATCAAACAACTCTGAAAATATATATACACTAGCATTGCCATAGAAAACTTTTTACAACCTTCAACTATACAATGATAGTGAAAAGCACACACCAACAGCTACTCGATCAAAAGTGGGGGTCCGGTCACGCCGTCAGCCCCCCTATAATACTAAGCCACGTACTCCTGGGTGTGGTAGTAATCCTCCCCAACGTTCACAACAAAACCGAGTAATATCTCACATAGGCTGTTCCGTCTCCACAGGGATGTACGCTAGACAACCGCTGGATATGATGCGGTATCCCAAAAAGAGGTGGTGTCCTCGGCATCCTACGGCTGGGGGTCTGAAATGTTTCGGTTTACACAACCGTGAGATAAATCTCAGTAAGTTCAACCCCTAAACCTAGGCTAGGCTAGCATGCAATCTCCTGACCGGAAAATAAATATGTGAAACCATAATGCAACAACAATCAAATAATCCTCCGTCCCTGCAGGTTAGGCAGTTCAATATATAATAATCACGGCACGTACGTGGCACATATTATCACACGTACGCCAATCACATGCTCATGCACCGAGGCTCACACACTCGCATGCCAGTCCATGCATGTTCATGCATGCAAATGTCGTCGACATGTCACGCCTATTTCCCTACCCACCTGCCCACACTGCACACGCAATCGCCCAATTTATTATTTATTACAACTCGAGTCAACAACATTCACGGCTTGATGCGTCTAGCCCGCTTCAAAGTGCATGAGGCGCAAAGAACCGATCCGGCCCAGTGTCTCTAGCCTCGCTTCAAAGTGCATGAGGCGCAACACCGTTCTCCTTGCGAACCGCAGCCTACTTCAAAGTACATGAGGATGGTCGCCTTCCGGACGTACCGGGCATCGTCCCGCTTCAAAGTGCATGAGGACGGTATCGACCCGAAGGTCATGACCCAAAGGTCCTTAGGTGATCACACAACTCATTATTATCTCGAACCCGCCGTATAACGCTCGTGGTATTTTAGGTGATCACATGCTCATGCGAGACACGCATTCTCGCGCAAGTTCATCACATGCCTCACTCTTGGCATACACAATGCGTGTCCATGTTATACAATGTAATGCACCACGAGCACCAACATAATTCAAATACTCAATATCACAACACGTGCTCAATTGGCCCAATTAATACCGTGTGGCCTAACGTGCGATTCACAAATCAATAAGTAATTGCAAGCCAAACAAAGGGCCAATCGCACACCACAATAATCAGCCACACAACAAGCGACATGGCGACACAATTAATCACACTTAAGTACAAATTACGTACCACTCCAACCCGACATACCCGGTAATTTTCCAATGGGCTCCTAAATTGGTCATTTAATCTAATTACTCTCCCCAATAAATCCTCAATGATTCACCACAATTTTCCCGATAATAATTCCTATCAATCGGTAGACAATATTTTTCATCCGCGCATCGAGCATCCCTAAACCAAATCCCGGAAAAAC